GCGCGCGGCGGCGACGGTCTCGGCGAAGGCGCGGTCCGCGCGGAACCGGCGCCGGTGCACGCCGTGGCGCGCGCGCTCGCGCGCCGCGAGCGCCTCGAGGGCCAGCACGAGCGCGTCGCGCGTCGCCGCCGCGCCGACCGCGAGCTCGTGCGCCTCGCGGCGGTCGCCCCTGTCGTCGAAGAGCGACAGCGCGTGGCCCGCGCCGGCGTCGTCGGCCGCGCGGACGCCGACGACGCGGTGGAGGGGCACGCGCGCCCAGCCGCCGGCGCCCGGCGCGACGAGCACGAGGCACGCGGCGCCGTCGCCGCGGCGCCGCTTCAGGCGGAGGCGGCAAGGCCGCCCCGCGCCGCGCGCGGCCGCGAGGCCGCCGCCGCGGAGCCGCGCCTCGACGCCCGCGACGACGCCGTCGCTCGCGTCGCGGTGCGCGCGCGCGTCGTCGCCCGCGTCGCCCACGCGCCGCAGGAGCGCCGCGAGCGCCGCGGCCGCCGCGCCGTCGTCGTCGTCGTCGAAGTCGCCCGCGAGGAACGACGGCACGGCCCAGGCGCCGTCCGCGGGCGCGCCCTCGTCGCCGCCGACGAGGCGCGCGACGGCCGCCAGCGGCTGGAACTCGGACACGGCGCGCGCGCCCGCCTGCGCCGGCGAAACGTCTCTCGATCTCGGTCGTCGCGGCCGATGCTCGGACGCGTCGTTGGCTCTCGTCGCGTTCGTTTCCGAGGGCGACGAACACAAATCAAACGTCGAAGTTCGCGTCCCGCGCGGGCGCGCGCGGCGCCGGACTCGAGAGCGACGACGCCCGCGCCAAAGGCCGCCTGGGCAGGAAAAGAGTGATTCAAGTTCGCTTCAACGTGAGTATTCCGCGCGCGCGTGTTCTGGAAAAAGCATCCACACTGCGAGACCGTTCCGAGAGATGATCGCTCGTCCAAGAATCAGCCAAAACGAGTGGAAAACGGCCGAGAGAGGAGCCTCCAAAGTTGGGAATTTCGCACTCTTTTCCTGCCCCGAAGGCCGCGTCGCCCGCGCCCGCGATGGCCATGGCGCCCGTCGACGCCGCGCGGCCGGGCAGCGACGCCAGGTGGCTCGCGAGGCGTCCGGCGCCGTCGATGAGCGACGAGTCCGCGGCCGCGGGCGCCGCGGCCGCGTCCGCGTCGACGCCCGCGACGGTCTCCGGCGGCTCCTTCGACGTCTCGTAGGTCGCGAGCCACGAGGCCGCGGGCTCGGGGCTGGGGTCGCCCCCCTCGTCGAGCGTGTCGCTCGACGAGCTGCCCCCGACGTAGCTCTCCCAGTAGGACCGCTGCGGCTCGCTGTGCGGCTCCGGCGGCTCCCTTTCTGCAGCGCGGACGCGAGCCAGGAGCCCGTGTCGTCGGCCGCGTCGCCGGGGGCACCCGCCGCCTCCGCCACGAGGTCGTCGGGCTCCATCATCGCGCCCGCGCGCGCCGCCGCTCCGCGAAGGATGGATCCAGTCGGGCAGCCCCGCCGAAGGATGATGTCCATCGGGCCCGCGTTGCCGCCACCGCGCCGCAAAGGTTGCCGTATTTATCGTCGTGCGACGCCCCGGGCGAGGAGCAGCGCGGCGGCGAGGCCCGCGGACGCGCGCGCCCGGCCCGCGCCGTCGCACTCGCCGGCGAGCGTGTCCCTGATGTAGCTTTTCTCGCTCGACGAGAGGAACTCGCCCCAGTCGTCGCAGATGTAGCCGTCGTTCTCCTTCTCGCACTGCTTCACGCAGGAATTGAAGCCCTCGATGGCGTTGTCGTCGCCGTCGCCGCAGCAGCAGTAGCACGACGTCGGGCCGCCGCAGATGCTGTCGCTGTTGCCCGCGTAGCAGCAGAGGCACTGGTCCGTGCGGAAGACGTTGGCGACGTAGATCGACGGCGACGGCGTCGGGAGCGACGTCGTCGGGCTCGACGTCGTCGGCGCCAGCGTCGGCCGGAAGCTCAGGGACGGCGCCTCGGTCGTCGGCGACAGCGTCGGCGCGCGCGACGCCGTGGGGCCCGGCGACGGGACCGTCGTCGTCGCCGCCGCCGTGGGCGACCGGCCCGTCGGCGCGGCGCTCGGCGCGGCGCTGGGGGGCGCCGTGGCGTTGAAGGACGCCGCGGGCGCGGCCGTCGGCGCGCGCGTCGCCGACGGCTGCGCCGTCGGCGCCGACGACGGCGCGCCGGAGGGGCCCGCCGTCGCGGCGGCGGCGGTGGGCGTCGCCGTCGGGAGCGACGTCGGCGCGCTCGTCGGCGCGCTCGTGGGCACGCCGCTCGGGCCGGCGCTGCCCGCGACGACGGGCAGGAGCGTCGGCGTCGCCGTTGGGACGCTCGTGGGCGCGCTCGTGGGGACGCCCGAGGGGTCGGCGCTCGGCGCGTCCGTCGCGAGGACGGCCAGCACCTGGAGCGCGGCCAGGAGCCGCCGCGAAGCGGCCATGGCGAACAGCGGCGGCGCCGGCGGGCGTCGAAGCGGGCAGCTCAGGCCGTCGCGCTAACCAAACTAGTGCCTCATCGGCTCGAAAGCTCAACAACGAAAGGCTGCCCCGCCGCCGAGCCAATGGCTTGGCATATTGTGACCGGGAAGCGCGGCGCGGCGCTGCGCGAGGGCGCGTCACCGGCGCACCGCGACGCGCCGGAATCGTCATGAAGCGTCGTCGCAGGTCCCGAGCTCGACAGCGCCGCCCTCGAGCCGGCCCTCGCGCCGGGCTGCCGCGTGCTCGTCGAGGAGGAGCGGCCCAACGCCGCCGGCACGCCGCGCTGCCGCCTCTCGCGGCCCCGCGCCGGCTGGTGCAGCCGGAAGATGCTCGGCGACGCCCTGGCGCCGCCGCCGCCGCCGCTGCCGACGGCGCCGGAGGACCGCGCCGCGCTCTTCCGAGCGGTGCCGCCGGGCGAGCGCGTCGCGACGGAAAAGGACGTCGACGACCGCCTGGCCGCGAGCTTCAAGCAGGCCTACGTCCAGACCTACCCAACGCACGACGCCCGCTGGTTCGCCGCCGCGCGGCGCCGCGGCGCCGCGCCCGCCGGCGCGCGCGTTGTGTGCTGCGTCGGCGACTCCATCACGCACGGCGACGCGGCCGTGTCGCCCGACTGGGTCGACGTCCTCCAGAAGCGCCACCCGGACGCCTGGCTCGTCAACGCCGGCGTCGGCGGCGACCTCGCGCACAACGTCCGCGCGCGCGCGCCGGACGGGGCAGCAAAAGAGAGCGAAATTCCCAACTTCAAAGGCTCCGATCTCGGCCGTTTTCCCCTCGTTTTGGCTGATTTTTGGACGAGCGATCATCTCTCGGAACGGTCTCGAAGCGTGGATGTTTTTTTTGGAACGCGCGCGCGCGGAACACTCACGTTGAAGCGACGTTGAATCACTCTTTTGCCGCCCAGGTTCCGGACGTCGCGGCGCTCGGCCACGTCGACGCGTTCACCTTACTCGTGGGCACGAACGACGCGCGGTTCCTCTGCGGCTGCGACGCGACGTGCAGCGACCGCATGACGACGTCCTACTACGCGGCGCAGAAGAAGGTGCCCTTCGGGTGGAAGGCGTCGCCCGAACTTGGCGGCGCGACGCCCGCGTTTCCGTCGGTCGCGCGCTACGTCGCGGACGTCGCCGCGATCGTCGACGGCCTGACGGGCCGCGCGAAGACGCCGATCCTCGTCGTCTCCGTGCCGCCCCTCGGCGACCGCGTCGCGGACTTCGGCGACGGCGACGCGGAGGCGGCGAAGGCGGACGCCGTCGTGCGATCGATGAACGCGGGGCTCCGCGAGGTCTGCGCCGCGCGGCCCCACGCGACCTACGGCGCCTTCCACGAGGCCTGCGAGGCGCGCCTCGCGGGCCTCGCGGCGACGCGCGCGCTGACGCCCTACAGCGCCAAGGCGTCGAACCAGCTCGTCGCCGACGCGACGAAGGGCCGCGCGGTCCACGGGCGGACCTTCGACGCCGTCGGCGAGTCCCTCGGCCTCGTCCACTGCTGCGACATGATCCACCCGACGGAGCAGACCATCTTCCCGCTCCTCGAGCTCGCCGAACGCTTCCTCTTCCCCCCGGGCTCGCCCTAGTTAGCGCGCGAACGCCGCGGAGCTCCAGTCGACGTACTCGTCGAGGAGCTCGTCGACGCGCCGCTCGTCGAGGCCCTCGACGTAGCCCGCGCCGTCCTGGAAGGTCGCGTGCACGAGGCCGTCGACGAACTGGCGCGGCGCCGCGACGGGGTCCGGCGCGTCGCCGTGGAACCAGTCCCGAGCCGACCCGTCGGTCTGCCGGAGCGTGAACGCGCGCTCGCCGCCGAGCTCGCGGCTCCGGATGAGCGCGCAGGCGAGGGCCGCCGTGTCGAAGAGGGGCGCGGCGTCCTCGCGGCGGAACGGCGCCGTCTCCCAGCCCCGCGCGAAGCGGATGTGGCCGAAGTAGTCGCCGTACGCGGAGGCGACGTCGGCAGCCGCGCGCCGCTCTGCGGCCGTCGGCGGCGCGACGCCGTGGCTCACGTCGACGTCGAGCGTCGGCTCCGGGGACCGGGGCGGCGGGTCGTGGTCCGCGGTGAAGTAGACGCAGTCGTCGTCGCTCGAGTTGTCGCCGACGGCGAAGTCGACGTCCTCGAGCGCGAGCTTCTCCTCCTCGACGCCCGCGTCCGCCGCGCCCTCCGCGCCGTCGCCGGCGTCGTCGCCGGCGTCCGCCCGGCGTCGTCGCCGCCGTCCGCCTCGGCGTCGTCGCCGGCGTCCGCCTCGGCGTCGTCGCCGCCGTCCGCCTCGGCGTCGTCGCCGCCGCGCCTCGGCGTCGTCGGCGCAAACGAGCGGCTCCGCGTCCTCCGGCGCCTCGTCTCTCGGCGCCGCGTCCGGGTCGACGCTCGCGCCCTCCGGCGCCGCGTCCGGGTCGACGCTCGCGTCCTCGTCGCCGGCAGCGGCCTCGTCCGCGGCGGGCGCCTCGTCGGGAGCCGGCGCGGCGGCGGGCGGCGCCTCTGCGTCGGCGGGCGCCGCCGGGGCCTCGGGTCGCTTCTCCGCCGCGGCGCTCGCATCGGTCCGCGCATCGGTCCGCAC